GTATGACTTACAATTCTTGTCCTGTATTCCTCAGACATGTTATAACTTACTATTCAGCCCTTGTATTCCTCTGACATGTTATTGTTATGACTTACTATTCTGCCCTTGTTCTACTCAGACATGTTATGACTTACTATTCTGCCCTTGTTCTCCTCTGACATGTTATGATTTACTATTCTGCCCTTGTTTTCCTCTGACATGTTATGACTTACTATTCTATTCTTGTCCTGTATTCCTCAGACATGTTATAACTTACTATTCTGCCCTTGTATTCCACAGACATGTTATGACTTACCATTCTGCTGCTGTATTCCTCTGACATTTTATGACTTACTATTCTGCCCTTGTTCTCCTCAGACATGGTATGAGTTACCATTCTGCCCTTGTATTCCTCAGATATATTATGACTTACTATTTTGCCCTTGTATTCCTCAGACATGTTATTACTTACAATTCTTCTCCGGTATTCCTCTGACATGTTATGACTTACTATTCTATTCTTGTCCTGTATTCCTCAGACATGTTATAACTTACTATTCAGCCCTTGTATTCCTCTGACATGTTATTGTTATGACTTACTATTCTGCCCTTGTTCTACTCAGACATGTTATGACTTACTATTCTGACTCCGTATTCCTCAGACATGTTATGACTCACTATTCTGCCCTTGTATTCCTCAGTCATGTTATGACTTACCATTCTTCTCCTGTGTTCCTCAGACATGTTATGACTTACTATTCTGCCCTTGTTCTACTCAGACATGTTATGACTTACTATTCTGACTCTGTATTCCTCAGACATTATTCTGCCCTTGTTCTCCTCTGACATGGTATGACTTACCATTCTGCCCTTGTACTTTTCAGACATGGTATGACTTACCATTCTGCCCCTGTATTCCTCTGACATGTTATGACTTCCCATTCTGCCCTTGTATTCCTCAGACATGTTACGACTTACCATTCTTCTCCTGTATTCCTCAGACATGTTATAACTTACTATTCAGCCCTTGTATTCCTCTGACATGTTATTGTTATGACTTACTATTCTGCCCTTGTTTTCCTCTGACATGTTATGACTTACTATTCTCCCCTTGTATTCCTCTGACATGTTATGATTTACTATTCTGCCCTTGTTCTCCTCTGACATGTTATGACTTACTATTCTATTCTTGTCCTGTATTCCTCAGACATGTTATAACTTACTATTCAGCCCTTGTATTCCTCTGACATGTTATTGTTATGACTTACTATTCTGCCCTTGTATGCCTCTGACATGTTATGACTTACTATTCTGCCTCTGTATTCCTCAGACATGTTATGACTCATTATTCTGCCCTTGTATTCCTCAGACATGTTGTGACTTACAATTCTTCTCCGGTATTCCTCAGACAGGTTATGACTTACCATTCTGCCCTTGTTTTCCTCTGACATGTTATGACTTACTATTCTCCCCTTGTATTCCTCTGACATGTTATTGTTATGACTTACTATTCTGCCCTTGTATGCCTCTGACATGTTATGACTTACTATTCTCCCCTTGTATTCCTCTGACATGTTATGACTTTCTATTCTGCCCTTGTATTCCTCTGACATGTGAGGATTTACTATTCTGCCCTTGTTCTCCTCTGACATGTTATGACTTACTATTCTCCCCTTGTATTCCTCTGACATGTTATGACTTACATGGTATGACTTACCATTCTGCCCTTGTACTCTTCAGACATGTTATGGCTTACCATTCTGCCCTTGTTCTCCTCAGACATGTTATGATTTTCCATTCTGCCCTTGTATTCCTCAGACATGGTATGACATACAATTCTTGTCCTGTATTCCTCAGACATGTTATAACTTACTTTTCTGCCCTTGTATTCCTCAGACATATTATGACTTACAATTCTGACTCTGTATTCCTCAGACATTATTCTGCCCTTGTTCTCCTCTGACATGGTATGACTTACCATTCTGCCCCTGTATTCCTCTGACATGTTATGACTTTCTATTCTGCCCTTGTTCTCCTCAGACATGGTATGATTTCCCATTCTGCCCTTGTATTCCTCAGATATATTATGACTTACTATTTTGCCCTTGTATTCCTCAGACATGTTGTGACTTACAATTCTTCTCCGGTATTCCTCTGACATGTTATGACTTACTATTCTCCCCTTGTATTCCTCTGACATGTTATGATTTACTATTCTGCCCTTGTTTTCCTCTGACATGTTATGACTTACTATTCTGACTCCGTATTCCTCAGACATGTTATGACTCACTATTCTGCCCTTGTATTCCTTAGACATGTTATGACTTACTATTCTGACTCTGTATTCCTCAGACATTATTCTGCCCTTGTTCTCCTCTGACATGGTATGATTTACCATTCTGCCCTTGTATTCCTCTGACATGGTATGACTTACTATTCTGCCCTTGTTTTCCTCAGACATGGTATGATTTACCATTCTGCCCTTGTATTCCTCAGACATGGTATGACTTACTATTCTGCCCTTGTTCTACTCAGACATGTTATGACTTACTATTCTGACTCTGTATTCCTCAGACATTATTCTGCCCTTGTTCTCCTCTGACATGGTATGACTTACCATTCTGCCCCTGTATTCCTCTGACATGTTATGACTTCCCATTCTGCCCTTGTATTCCTCTGACATGTGAGGATTTACTATTCTGCCCTTGTTCTCCTCTGACATGTTATGATTTACTATTCTGCCCTTGTTCTCCTCTGACATGTTATGATTTACTATTCTGCCCTTGTTTTCCTCAGACATGGTATGACTTACCATTCTGCCCTTGTTCTCCTCTGACATGTTATGATTTACTATTCTGCCCTTGTTCTCCTCTGACATGTTATGACTTACTATTCTATTCTTGTCCTGTATTCCTCAGACATGTTATAACTTACTATTCAGCCCTTGTATTCCTCTGACATGTTATTGTTATGACTTACTATTCTGCCCTTGTATTTCTCTGACATGTTATGACTTACTATTCTCCCCTTGTATTCCTCTGACATGTTATGATTTACTATTCTGCCCTTGTTCTCCTCAGACATGGTATGATTTACCATTCTGCCCTTGTATTCCTCTGACATGGTATGATTTACCATTCTGCCCTTGTATCCCTCTGACATGTTATGACTGACCATTGTGCCCTTGTATTCCTCTGACATGGTATGATTTACCATTCTGCCCTTGTATTCCTCAGACATATTATGACTTACTATTCTGCCCTTGTATTCCTCAGACATGTTATGACTTACAATTCTTCTCCGGTATTCCTCAGACATGTTATGACTTACCATTCTGCCCTTGTATTCCTCTGACATGTTATGATTTACTATTCTGCCCTTGTTCTCCTCTGACATGTTATGACTTGCCATTCTGCCCTTGTATTCCTCTGACATGGTATGACTTACTATTCTGCCCTTGTTCTCCTCTGACATGTTATGACTTACCATTCTGCCCTTGTATTCCTCTGATGCCTCATGTACAGCTTTATCCCAGTTATCCTTTCCATTTCTGACTTTGCTCAGATCTAACTGCCAGTACCTTAGACAGAATTTTGATTAAGTTGTCTTCATTTGTATTTATGCAGTATTTTAACCAAACATTCCAATTTATATAATGCAATACATATTAACTGCAATAAAACCTAAATTGTTACACTGTATATTGATATTATTGGTTGTTGGGACTGAAACAATTGTTTAGATGAACTTTCAATGTATAAATAGTAAAATACACAGGTTAAAACACATAACATTGAATTGCCATATGATAAAATAAGGTAAAATATACTGTTTTTATATGGATCTAAATAACACATTTTAAATCAATCAAACTTACTTTGTTGGATTTCCAAATGCCATACAGTCTTCCTGTATAAAACCAAGTTTAATCATTTTCATTGAGGAAATATATAAAAATTCTGTAATAAGATGTCTGCTAGCTAGAGACAAGTTGTCACAACCAAAAAATAATATGAAATACATTTTTGAAGGATTTTAACTCAAATTTGTTTGCCCATTTTTACAATACAGTTCTGCACACATTATTTTGGTAAACTCCCAAAACGCACTAGCATCCAAGAGGAAATTACATTCAGAAGCACAACTTCTTCAGAAACTGACAAAACTACATGGATGTATATATCCCTACAGAGATTTAACACTGCAAGGGAGATAACTCTACATTGAAATATCAGTGGAAAATAGTCAACTTGAATATGTAAGTTCATTGAATATACTACTGACACTCAAACATGCAGAAAATTAAAAATAAAATGCATGAGTTATCTCCCCTTATAGTGCCAAATACCAACTGAAACTAACTTTCTCATAAATTGACAATCTGTTGTACAGATTGGTACATCATATATCAATTTATTTTCACACCTTAAAATACAAGTACCTGTTTAGGTACACATTTATTCTTACCGATACATAGTAGGGACCAGCAAAGTCACGGATGACCCCAGAAGTCATACAGATACCCATGTGACCAATGAAGGGAAACAGCCATCTGAAAGCAGATTTTTTTTAAAATAAATAATTTGTGAAATCATAATGATAAATATACATACTTCCAAACATATTTAAGCTCAGTGGCCTTTCAATTAGAAATAGGTAAAATTCACAAGTATCATTGTTGAAAGATACTATGTTTGTCCTAAATATGGGCACCAGTTGTGGGTAAATGACATGTGACTTGAAGCACCTTTAATGTAGTAAGACACAAAAAATCCTCAAGTTAATCAAAATTAATGTTCAGTTTTTCTGGCAACATACTTTTTTGAAACAGCCCTGGGGGTGGTGGTGGTGGTAGGGTGGGGGATGGGTCGTAACTATTCAGACGGTAAATTTTGATTTAGAACATTTTTTACATTGTAAAGAGATTTTCCAAGAAAATATATACATTTTTTTTGTAATTTGTTGTACAAATTATTTTTTCAAATATTCACAAAAGAAAAACAGAGTACTTAAAACAATTTGAATTTCACTGTAATATTGAATATGAATAAATGCAATTTTTATTTTTTTGTATTTCTGGAAAGATACACATTGTATTTTTTTCATATCTGTAATCTACAGAACGTTTTGCCAATTTGTCGGTATATGAAAGTAAATGGTTTGCTATAACTAAAATGCTTCGTTGCAATCAAAGTCTCTAACAAATGTAGAACTGAGGGTAGCATATTCATTCGGCATGGTAATCGCGCCAGTGAAACTCTAGTCTTGCTAATTATCGGTGTACCCAAACACTAACTCTAGTTTTCCCCGTGAAATAAAGTGTTTCTAAGTTTTTTTACCGCTTGTATACATATAAAGGGAACAATATGGTTGGTAGCCTGGCTTCAATTATTTGACATGGTAACCGTGTCAGTGCAACTCTAGCTATGCAAATTATTGGTATACACATAGTACTCACTAGCCCCCCACCCCCCCGTGAAATAAACTGTTCCTATGATTTTTATCCCCTTTATTAAAACAAAATACATATGGGATGGTCATAAACCATGGCTTTATATTTTACACATTGACCAGTATATCGGTTCTTATGTACATAATGTTAAACTATTCCTAGTGCTAGCTTGTGATACTAGTCTCATATCCCTGCGCAACCGGAGTCACAGTCGCGAGGAGAAACGTCACACTCTTACAACAACTATCCCAAAATCCACATGATTTTAAATTTTTCTTTTCCGTGGAATAATGTTACTGAACTCCATAATAGAATTGGCGTAGATGAGTACCAATCCCTACATACCCAAAGAGAAGCAAAATATTTGTAAAATAATAGGGGAAAACGATATTTTCTTGCTTTAAAATGGCCATTAATACTGACACCAGAACAAGGGAGAATGCGTCTAATATGTTCTAGAAAACAAAATTCTCCTGGGGGAGACCTCCCAGACGCCCACCAATGGGAGGGGGAAAACACAATCACATACCCTCCCCCTCCTCGCGCCACGGGCTTCGGAGTGCTGCCTTCGGCAGCACACTTCATCATTGGGCTTACACATTGAAAACCCGTTTGTTACGCCCCTGGTTACTTATCACATCTTGTCATTGATGCATTTCGGATTTATAATTATACAAAAGTAAAATGTAAAAAGTACATCTAGCCTAATTTATAAAAAAATAGTATAGATTCATGAAAACTGTGTATTTTTTGGTTCCGGGTTGTTTCGCCCGAAATCCCGTTCACCCTAGGTTGTTTCGAGCTAGGTTGTTTCGCCCTAAAACAAAAATATTACGGCGAAATATTGTATGGTATTGTCTTTTAATTTTAGTAGTTTTAAGTCACAAATTGAGTCTTCTAAGTCTTCCATATCATTAGAATCAATTTCATAGAAAAAATGTGTTTGTCTTATTTTTAAGCTAGTGTGACAAACGGCAGCTGTGAAAAGCTGACTCCGCTCCCACATACTCTACATATATCACACAAATGGAGAAAGTCATCAATAAGTTTAGTTGATATATTTGTATATTAATTATTAAATGAGCATATATTTTTTTATATTTTTTTTAGGACGAAACAACCCAGGGAGAACAGGATTTAGGGCGAAACAACTCGTTACCGTATTTTTTCGATGTTCGCCTGGGTCTTCTTGATGGTTGGACTTCATCTTTTAACTTGACAAGTGTTTAACATTCGAAACAAAAAGCCTTAGGTAAAAAGTTGCATCCAATTACTTGATAAGAACACAGGTATTCAGATGGCTGTGATAACTGGGACTGGATGAGGAAGCAGGTTCCCGTTATAAAAATGTAAACAAGTCGCATAAATTGTCAAATAGTCTACCGCTTTCTTTCACTTACGTAAGACACGGAATAGGCGTCCAAACGATCGAGTATGGATATTTGCATTTGTAATGATCAACTTTCTGACCCGAGTACATAGGCAATTGCCCTGCCATCGAGTTAATTGACGTTTTTTCAGAATCAGTCTCGGGAACAATTTTTACCTCGTCCATTTGTCGGGAGAGATTCGTGACTCGCATATGATGGTATAAAAAATCTTCCGTGAAAAAAATAATGTATATTACTTAATTTCGACCTAACGTTTTTAGTATATGTAATTATCATCATTAGGAGTTAATAAGATCATAGAAGGGATATCAAATAAATAACGGAGTCAATTCGTCGATCCATCATAATAAATGCTCCCTTTAAAACAGGATGTAAATTTGATATAAGTAGTGGTTTTGAGACCGGATTAAATATCCGGAACAGATGTATAAACATATTTTATTTGAAAAAAATCAAATGGAATTGGACACAAGTTAAACAACGGTTTAGCACGGTAGTCTAGTGTTCGGGCCCGTGACCGAAGTCACGGCACAGTGTTGTATCTTTGAGCAAGACACTTTACTCCGCTTGTTCCAATCTACTCAGCTGTAAATGAGTACGTGGTTGGGCAGTGCTAGATTTTTTTTACTATTGTTGAATGTTAGCTGTTAGCGCCGAAATGGCAGCACCGGCTGTATGCTCCCCAGGGAGATGAAAAGGGTATTGGCTGGTTGCAAAGGCTCTATAACAACGGATAATAATTTGTGAACCGCTTTGAGACGACCTACGAACTAGGTTGTGATACAGCGGTATATAAGAACCTCGAATAATAATAATTATTATTATTATAAACATGATTTTTATAATATCATTTGAAGTAGAAAAATTTAATTAATTTCATCAAAAAATATTATATGAAAAGAAATACACGTATATAGTAATACGAACACTGTTAAATAAATAATTACATGTCAGAAGAAACTTTGTGGTTACTCCTGTTTTTTAATTATTATTATTTGAAACTACACGTAACACGTGAAATTCCTTCATAGTTTTAACATTATATAAAAAAAACTGCTATTTTGTCAGTTTCAATGAGAAATAAATGCGTTAATGTGTACAAAGTCGTATATACTGGCTTTATACATCTCTCAAAATATGCCTCTGACAATAAAATATATGATCAACACACTTATGCGAATTAAAAAAAAAATGTATATATAAGATAAAAAAAAGTTGTGGCATTTTTTTGATGTGAAACTGAGTTCTCTTAATTTTTCAAGCCGCATCGCTGTAAGCACGGCTTGACATCGTTATATACGTCTTCAGCATGGACTGCTATAATACTGATAATATACAAATATCTATCTAATTCCGTGGCGATATCTTGATAAAACAAATTCAATAATTTCGAATGAATTAATTTACATAATGCTATTAATTTATATAATCTTATTCCGTGTTAAAACTGAAGCTGACCTGTTTCAGTTATATTATGTAGATTTATAGGTTGGTTCATCTATTTTTTTATCATAGGTATTTGTTTTTATTTTTCTCTTTTTTTTTTTCTTAATTGTAGATTTTTTTTTTTTTTTTTTTTTTTAATTTTGATTTTTTTTTTTTTTTTTTTAGCTAATTGATCATTGGTTTCAATAACGGTTGGCCAAACCGATAATAAGGTAATAGCTAATGCCTTAGCTTTTTCGTGTATGCAAGCAAGGACTAATCTAATTCCGTGATGCAAGTAAATGATAAACTGGACAAGGTCAACACCATCAAAGAAACAGCTGCTTACTGACACATCTATATATATTGTAAATCATCTTTTCTAATTTCGTTGGTCTTAAAATCTTAAGTATATGGACTTTAAATTTCATGTTTATTATATTCTAGGTCATATAATATGATTAGTTTGTGTTCCTAAACAGACACTTTTTCTGATGTAAAAAGTAAGTATTTCTGAAAATATGTGGACAGAATTTTCGTTAAGCTAACCATGCACAGAGCTGGCGTAAAATAAAATGATGGCTGCAGTTCACATGGGTACCTCGTCAAGAAGCCCGCGGGGTGTCCTCGATCTAACTAAATCCTTTGGCCGATGATTGTTTAAAAAGTGGTCAGCTTACCTAGTTTCACCACGGAATTAGATTATCTAAGTCCGTGGTTTCACTAACAGTTTTTACTTTAATTTTTCCCCGTTTCAAAAAAAATATATGTTTCATATCTACATATGATCAGTGTGAAAACAAAGATATGAAGGTTTTGTGTTTTGTATTAGACAATTAGATAAAACTATTGCAGACATTTAAGTTTGAGTGAACGTATTCAAGCTAACAATGCTTTGAACAATTTAGTTAAGAAACTCAAAAATCTGTCCAACAAGTAAAACATGGGTTTGGCGCTAATATTACAAGTATATTTACTGGTAGCACGGATTTAGATCTAATTCCGTGCAGGTAGTTGATTACTTTTTTTTATGTGTTGCATGCACGTTTGGAAACAAGTGTTAACTGATGTAAAACGAAATGTAACTGGTTATAATTATATTTAAAATGTCCTGGCAAGCAGGCATATCAAGGTCCAGTGCCAATATTCAGCAAACCGTTCTCATGCTCAAGCATCGATTCTGTGCTCAAACGAACTTTCTTGGAATTCAATTTTATCAAAATGATAAAAAAATCAAATGTAAACATTGATAACAGTATAAGGATTTAAGTCGCTTTCATTTTTTTTTCTAAATCATTGACATTTATTTTTTTAACAGTTTATACCCAGAGCAAGAAATAGGGTTTGAGCACCAAATCCATGCTTGAGCATGAGAACGGTTTCATGAATACGGGCCCTGGTGATTTGGGATCACAAATATAATCATGTGTATTACACCGTGGACTTTAATCCCTGGAAATATTCGGAGTTGGTATTGCATCGTATAACCCTTTTCTGTCAAAATGGCTAGTCACTATTTGGCAATGGAATTGTCGAGCGATAAGAGAAAGTCTTGTATTTTCGAAATTATATATAACAAAATACACAAACAATTCAACGACGCATGGCCTTTTTGATTGCTTATAACCAACGTGATCTACGCGACCCCTGACATGGTTCAAAATGCATAAATGGTCTTAAAGTATATCAAATGCGCATGCAAATATTTCACGCAATCAGTCTAAACGAATTCTGCCAGTATATGTGCTTTTTCAAGGTTCGTTTTGGTGATATCCTCCTTGAATTGTTATACAGGCCGTGGCTTTGTGTGGTAGTTTTTCATTTATCAAAAGCTTATGCAAGTCAGGTCTAACATTGGTTCAACGAAATATTCCTTACTTAGCCTGCTGGAGAAAAATATCCACACTCAAGACAGAGACGTATATAACACATATGGCTTTATACGTCTCTGCTCAAGATAAACGTTTTATTGTTTTTTTTCCTTACCGTATTGCACCTGCAACCGACGAGAAACAAGGGACGTAATCGTGATTGATATCCGGAATGTTCCGTGTCCGGATTCAGATCCAAAGTTAGTCCCAGTTACGTTTTTTAATAGATTGCTAATGAAAAATGAAAGCACTTGTGTATTGTGTCGTGCACGCAATGAAGCACGTAATCTCGTCAATCATGTATGAATTTCCATATCTTGATTAGCAAGTGTTTAAGCAAGCAGAACAGTGAATCTTCTAGAATTGCATCGGTTTTAGCAGTGTTTTTCGCGGGAGAAGATTTGCGATCGAAGGTCAAGGTTGGTTGAACATTTCTATGTCCATGGGTATGGACGCTGAACAGCAAGAAGAGGAGTGCTGGTATCAACTCAGACGAGTGGGTCCTACTGCAACGTTCCCGAAGGTTCGGGATGTTATGAAGTAAGTCTGTTTTTACCAAACGGTGGCGTTATTTGGTCCCAGTTCAGGAAATATTACTACAACATGACCTGTCAAAAGACAGTAAACATGGTTCTTCTTCTCCGACATTGTTTACAAACAAGACTGTTACAGTATAGTATATTGGCCTAATCGAAATGTGATACACACTTCAATATAAAAAACCAGTAAGGTTACTTGTTTGGATGCATTGTTAATGATTTCTTATGATTAATGATTAATTGCGACTGCAATCGATGGGACATGTACGTCTTTTAGATTGAGATGCAGAAGTAGGTCAAGCTGTGTTGATGTTTACATTGATGCTGGCCATGGTGTTGACATATCCCTCCGCTTCTGTCATACATGAACGTTATAACATGCATAACTTTCATTTTCCTCCCACATTTCACGTTTCCCGTATTAACCTTTTTGATTTAGTAACATTAATCAAAATATCTGAGTTGTAATGTGTCCAGTACTTTGAGTCATTGCAATCTTACCAATTTGCATACACTTTTGAGGAAGCTTTAATCATAATGTTTAGCCTTTAAAAAAACATTACCCATTACTGCATATATGCTTAGTATCTATGTTGCGTTTCCATATTCTATTACAGGTACTAGCCTCGTCTGTCAATAGACCTATAATATTACTATTATAGATGTATAGAAAGACAAGGCTAGTACCTGTGATTCAATGCTTTCTAAGTTCCTTAATTTGCTGTTTTAATTGTTACAAAAACCAAAACAAAATCTGATACCAAATCAAGGATGTAAGTCATTCATGCCAGATCTCATGATCTTAAATGTCACGAAGTCTCACGGCATGGGACTACTACTGCCTATATTGTTAATATTGAGATATGTCTTTTGGATGAGCAGTTTTCTTAAAAAAAGCCCATTTAGACGGGCAACTTCTCACCATATATCCTTACTATTCTTACTTAATTTTGGACATGCAGTTTTGTCAAAATTGGCTAAATACCAGCTTTTTGGCCAGTTAGGTTTGAAATCCTGGCGAAAAGCTTGCCTACCTACTTACCCAAAATTTGTCAACATGTTACAGGAAACCCTTTTGTCTGGCCTAACTTCAGCCATACATGTAAGAAAAATAGTACAGTATGTATACCTATTATATAACAGGAAAATCTTTTTTCATCATGTCATTTAACTCCCTGTATAGCTGAATTTGCAACATATAATTGATGTCCAAATACAGATATATCAGATTGTGGGAGTCTATAATTAGTAAAAATTAAAACCACCATATTTTATATTTACATTGCCGCATTATGTTGTGAAAAAACTGTGGTTAAATTAAAGTCATCAGATTTTATTGACATTTAAAGAATATTGGTATGAAGAAATAAAAAATTCAAAATTACTTAGATTTATGTCCATCATAAATAAGCATGTGGTGTGGAGCCTTTTCCCGACTGCTACTTATCTTCATAGACACAAGTTAAAGGGGCTGGTTGGGGAAAAAATTACAAAATAAATGGATCTAAATGCGTTCTCTGGCCTTCCAAAAGTTATACCACGGCAATATGATGGTCGAGTTCTGCTTGCAATGTCCAGTTTTGACCCCTGAAATCTCTGGGAAGCCCCGCGTAAATTTAGTGCAGATCTATTTATATATGTCACGTGGTTGTTTCGAAAGTGAGGCAGTGAATCGAAGATAACAACAATAGCACGCCGTCATGTGACATGTCAGACTCAACTAGCGGACAAGACAGCAACACTATTATTCTATTATGGCCCTTTCCCGAGGGAACTGTTCTCTTATAGTGTTGTCTGGGGTGGGCACTATACCTCTCCAGACAACACTATAAGAGAACTGTTCCCGAGGGAAAGGGTCATAATAGATTTAGTATATCACATGACTGTCATTTGACAATTAAAGACAAACACGAAAAACTTCATTGATAACATATTCAATAATTAACAACTGCTGGAAATTTGAACGTAACATTTGAAGTTTTGATTCATTAGTTGTTGTTAATTGTAACGGTACAATTACTGAATTTGAAAGAAGGCGTACAAACAATGGAATGTCGAAATCTCTGCCACATGATGGTTCTTGTAAATGCCGCCGCAAACCTTGCCTGATGGCAATAAGATAACTTTTTGATTAGATCTTTCCTTTTTTGTTGATATTGGTATAGAAATCCGCCAAAACACCGTTCAATTCTCTGGATTGAATCACCGCTAGGTCACATACGGTTCCCCTTTCCAGTAGGAAGTCTTTAAGGACTGCGACGGCAAATTGTGTTGCCTGCTTCGTCTTTATGCATTGCTGAGCTTCTGCGAAGCAATCAGCATTCCCAGCCCCGAATCTCGAAGCCATTTTGGCAGACGACAACAATCAAGTAAAAGTAGAAAATGTACAGCGCCCCATAGGAGAAGGGGCGCAACTCTTAGCGTCACGCTACTTTTCCCTCAGTCTCAGTGGTCCAGAAAAAAGGTATAGTGCCCGTCTCCAGGTATAGTTCCCGTTGTCAAGGGCGGATGCTAACCTTATGCCTGTCATGACTTTTGCATGCATCTTTTTCTTTCGCCTCAATGTTTACATTTGACCTTATTTATGATGCGTGTGCGGTAGGATTACATCACTGATCTGGGTCAATTGAGAGTTTTAGACTGTCAGGTGACGATTTAGGATTTCTTTAATATAATCATAATTTTTAGCTTACCTGGTCCGAAGGACCATGGTGAGCTTGTGCCATACCGCAGCGTCTGTCGCCCGTCCGTCAACTTTTCCTTTAAAATGCTACTAGTCCTGAACGGCCAAGTAGATTTTGACTAAATTGGGTCTAGAGTATCCTTCGGCCAAGGGGACTCAATTTTGTATAAACGGTGGGTGTGGCAGGGCCCAATAGGGGAAATAGAGGTAAAACCTTGGAAATCCTTCTTCTACCGTAGGGATTAAAGGATTTTATCCTAATTTAGTCTGGAGCATCCTTGGGTCAAGGGGACTCAATTTTGTATAAATGGTGGGTGTGGCCCCCCCCC